TATTTTTTGAAAATATGAAGGAAAAAATATGATTAAAGAAGACTTATTTAATTTTTGAAATTTGAATGGTGACACATGAAATGGGACTGAAAGAATATAAGTTATGTATATATGAAAAAACCTAACAATATATCTGTCTGACTATTTGTTAAAGACCGCTCGATTAATGTGAATTTACGATGAGACTTATTTAAAGGAAAAATATTTTTTTTAGAAAATCATTTATTTTTATGAAACGAATCCGAGGCTTTTGAGCTTTAATTAAAAATGAAGAGATCATATATTAACCACATTATTTTGGTGGTTGTATGCTTTGAGTTGTATGCTCTCTAAGATGATGACATTTGAAGTACAAAGCGTTGAAATTTTAAGAGGAATGTATATTTTGAGAAGAAGGTAGTTAGATACTTATAATATTTTTCGTATAGTAATTTTTAAATTTAGATATAACAGTTCATACTTTAGAAATTATACGAAAAATACTAATTGTAAAGTCTATTGTTTTTCATAATTGTATTCTGGAATTTACAAATTGAAACTTCATTTTGTTTCACGTTATATTTGTGACACTACTGAATTTTGAAAAGCCAAACAATTTTTTTACTAATACTTTTTTTTCCATTTGTTTTAAAATACCTTTATATATAGTTTCATATTGGTAAAAATTATTTCAAAAATACTAAGAAATCAATTATAATTGAAAAGTTTGGTTGAGCTTAAAAGCTTATCAAACTTATTTAAAAGTCAATTTTTGACTCCTAATCACTTTTTTTTTGCGTGAAATGGATCGTTGTTTTATTTTTCATGTTGAGTTACTAGTTTTTCTGAAAAAAATGTTTTGACAATTTGAATAATATGCAATAAAAATATGTATCTATAGTGTAGTATTCCAAAGATTATTAGCTAGTGTGTATTATCTTACAAAACTAGTGAATCAACTAGTTGATATACGAATATTTATTTGGAAACATTTTTTCGGTCAGAATGGGCGAGAATTTGGTTAGAATGATAAAATAACATATTTCATACTATGTTGATTTATCTGTTTTTAAAAATTTTATCTTTTTAATTTTAATATCTTTTGATTAAAAAATTAAAAAAAGATCAATTTATTTTTATAAAAAAAAAACATAATAGACTTTTTCAAGTTTTTGGTCATTTAGCATTTTTAGATTTTTTTAGAATTTTGTCTATTTTGTGAGTTTTGAAAAAGCATAAATTTTAAAGAAACAACAAACATTATACATATTTAAAGTTGAAAAACTCTTTATTGCGGTCCCTTCTTCTTTTTTGCCCCCCTCTGCCCCTAAATATTTGGTCTATAAAAAAGGGAAGTGATAATACAATTATTGTTTTTTAAAAAATAATTAATAATTGCCTTTTGAAGTTTTGATGATGTTTGCTAGTTTCAACAGTTACATAAAAGGTGTTTTATAATCATTGGTAATTGACTAATTATTTATTTCGTAGCATAAGAAAATCAACTAAATAACATATAATACAAGTTTAATACATATTATAAAGAACAATTTATCATTTACATATAATACAAGTTTTAATGATGGTTAATACATTTATCACACATTTTAATACACTTATAATACAATGTGTCAAATTTTTACCAAACAAACATAATATATTTAAAAAAAAGTATAATTCATATATATTGCATACATAATTCAATTTTAATACATATTACAGATTTAACATAGTATTATTATAAATAGAAATAAATAAAAAGTATAACTAAAATTTGTAATTATTTATTAAAATGTATCATTTTACGTAATTTTTCCTTTTTATTATATATTCTTGATCGAAGTAAATTTGTTGAGTCCCACATTGTCCGGATAGGGAGAATTTAAACTCTTTAGAGAAAAGCCTTGATATATTTCTCAACTTGTTATTTAAAATTGAATATATTTTTCGTTATAAAAGTGATGCATATATACCTTTATTAGTATACAAATGACTCACAAATACCCTTTTCTTCTAATAAAAGTAAAAAAAATAATTTTAAAATTTAATTTTTGAACTATTTTTTTGGAAAAAATATAATCCAGATGGGGTATATTTTAGCTTTCTTACACGTAGTTATTTATTTTTCGACAATTTTGTTTCAACGACTAATTTAAATTTATTATTTTGATAGTCAAATTTGTTTATGTTTCACTAATTTTCTTGTAAATTTTATCATAGATAACTCAATTTTGTTTTTTTTTTAATTTACAAAAACTAAATTACAATATAATAGTAAAAAATTAATTTATTTTTCTTTAAACTAAAGAATGAAAGAAAAAAAAATAAGAAACTCAAATAATAATAGTATAAAAGAAGTTAAAAATAATTTATATATGAAAAAAATTGAAATATATATCTTGAACTTTGTTGGAAGGATCATATATACCCCCACATGATTTTTTAAAAATTTAAAGTAAAATAAATAAATTTAAAACTATTTTTTACGCTTCAATTAAATGAAGAGTATATGTGATCTGTAAAGGTAGGAGTATGTATACGTCATTTATATAACAATAAGGGTATATATAAGTTACTTTTATTATAAGGAATATATCAATTCTAATTGACAAAATTAAGAAATATATAAGATCATTTTCGCATTTCACAACTCTTTATATATATGATTTAATTAGTCTTCTCTTTATATATATATATATATATATTATTTATTTTTTCGAAGTTAACAAATGCGATACGTCGATGGTTTCGTCTTCTACCCATAAGTCACACCAGAAAACACTTTGTGGTGAAGAAAATCATAAAAAATAATTTCCCCGTCGTGTCAGGCGTACATTTATCTGTTGTGTCCTCTTCAATTTATTATGAAATTAAAAGATAAAATAATATATGAAAAAGAAAAAAAACGAAGATAAAAGTGGATAAGTGTGATGTGGAAATATTTAGTTATAATTCTTACTGGTTGAAGAAAAAAAAATTCACGCACGTAAATGATGATGTGATGATTACGATTTTCTTGTTCGATATTTTAATTTAAAGTTTAAAAATTTAAATTTTTTATTAAAAGCATTATTTTTTAAAAAATGAGCTCCAGCATATGAAAATGCAGATTTAATTGAATCTCAATTATCTAACGCTTAATCTAAAAAACATAAAAATAAATCGATCATAGACAAAGTGTCACGGTTATGATATTGACAACTTTATTGTTCTTAACTTCGTAGTATTCTCACATGCACTTTTTTCTATAATGTTTGTGCTCTCTAATTGTTTATTAAAGTGAGGGGAGAAAAGGAACGTGGCAATGTGTCATGTATATGATCAAAGTAAAAACAAAGGAAATATCCAAAATAGCTAATACTAAAAATATAATTCGATAAAATATTTATATTTTACTCAATGACGATTTATAGCTATAAGTTAGAAAGGAAAAGAGATGAGTAAAACTAGAAGAGGCAGGAGAAATGTGAGCGAGGGAGATGACAAAGAGAGGCAGGGGAAGTGACATACATTTGGTGTCTGTATTAAATTTTGTAGGCATAATACATAATATGACCCTTATCTTGACTTTAACAAAAAATTACACCTTCTAATTTTGAGTGTGCATAACTATACATTAAACTTGTATAAAGTTGAACAAGTATACACACATATCATGCATGACATAACTATACATTAAACTTGTATAAAGTTGAAAAAGTTTACACACATATCATGCATGACATAATACATGTAGGACGTCGTGTAGGAAACAAAATTGTCATGTAGAATGCCCATGTAGGACGGATGTATTTATTTACTCAATTTTATACAAATTTAAGTGTCTATTTATACAAATCTAAAATTAAAGATTATAGTTATCTAGTGATACCAAATTATATCATACATTACATTTTATATATTATGTCAATTTTTAAGTCATCCATATCATCCATTGCATGACCCTTGTTGAGAATGACATTTCCTATCGTTTATCATATTCAAAGACTTAAACTCAAAACCTATGATCTTTCGCTCTGTGCTCTACTTATCATGAATATGGATAGAAAATGCACCTAAAATTTTATCAATTCAAAAGGAGTATATACATATATACCCTATGTGTATTAATCAAAAGTAGACACAATATAATGTAGTAACTATTCTTTCTATTTCACCAATAAATTTTATCACTTTGTTAAAGAATGACAAAAACTCTCATATCGGTGGTTAATGAGATGCGTGGAATTCTTATAAGGTTTGCGCAATTCTTCTTTCTTTGAGTTAGTTTTTGGAGCGTGAGTTAGGCCTAAGACCTAATTTCACATGGTATCATAGCAGGGCCTGTCTCACCCTATATTGGAACCCCCAAAATCAAAATTATCCACACACCAGATGCTAAGCACTGAGCGTGAGGTGGAGTGTTAAAGAATGACAAAAAATCCCACATCGGTGGTTAACGAAATGGGTGAACTCCTTATAAGGCTTGGATAATCCTCCCCCCTTTGAGCTAGCTTTTGGGACGTGAGTTAGGCCTAAGACCTAAAAGTTTTTTAACATTAAGTTCTAATTTTATGTTTTTTTTCTTCATTATTTAAAAAAAAATAAATGATATCGATTAAGTAGAAGTTTTAAGACACAATATGTTTTCTTTTTATGTTATATGTAAATGTATAAAGTGTACAATGATGTACTATATAGTAGGAGATGTGAATCGAGAAGTAATTTTCATGATTTTTCTTTAAAATATTGGGTGTTTTAAATATTAATATTGCAAATTATTTATTTTAAAAAATTGAGTTGCAATCGAAAATTAATTATCATATTTTTTTGTTGAAAAAATAGATTTTCTTAATTAGTCGTCACTAAAAATCACTCATAACATTTAGTGGCAATATTTTGAAATTTTGTGACAAATTTATCGCCATTAAAGATCAAGTTCTTTTGAAGTGAATTGACAATGCTCTAAAAAATTGAGGTGTTAACTCTTGAGAATTTTTTGATCTTCTAGGATAACAATAAAATATTTTTGATCCAAAATGTAAATAAAAATATAAATAATCTATTTCATATAATTAAAGAGCAATTTTGATCCTTTTCCAAAAAAAATAATACAAATTACAATCTAACAAAGTAAAATTGTGCGGGCCGTGTTGAAGTTTGTGCGGATTCAGTTCAAACTAAACCCTAATCATCTTCAGCTTCTTCAACCTTCTGGCCGAATCCTCGAGGTCCACCTCTAGCTCTCGCTACAATTTTCCCCTTCCGGCCGCTCTTCTTCTTCTTCGCCGCTTCTTCTTTCTCGAATTTCTCCTTCTCTCTCTTCTGCAAAAAATCCGTAACAGCAATGTAGATTACTCCGACGGTTAGAATGGATAACCCGACGAAAGCAATGACCAAAAGAGATTGAATGACGGTGGAAACTCCGTCGTCACCGGTGGATGAAACAATTTGATCGGCAGTTTCAGCTACATTCACTTCTGATAACTCTGAAATAGCAGAAATTCTCCGATTTCGGATGATTTTGAATGAAATTGGTAGATTTGAGCGGTGAATTTTGTGAATATGGAGGTTTCTAGTGGATGAAATTGATTGATTTTGTGGAGGGAAAAGAGGTGATTTAGGGTTAATTACAAGGAAGGAGAGAGAAATGGATGTAGAAGCAGCCATTGTCTCTCATCCAATTTGCAAAGCCAGAGGAAATGTCATCTTAATTTTTGTACCTCTAATTTCCTTCACACAATCCATAACCTTATCTTCTCTTCCTTGGGCCCCACCACCTAGTAAATTTATGAAAATCGAAATCTTACTAACAAGGTGAAATTTTAGATGAACAATCGATCGAGATACTTAACTTTTTAAGAAACATGTCTATTGTGTAACGACTACATATTAGTGTAGTTTGATACGTTGAGTTGGAAAAGTTATTGTCAAATGTAATTTTATTTCTATTTTGTGAAGGTAAAAATTATTTTTGATGGATTGTCGACATAAGCTAAGCTTATAAAAGTCTGTATGAAAAGACAATATACTAGTGAAGAAGACAAGTAATAAATAATTGAGAGAAAAACAATATTTTAACAACAAATACATTATATTAAAGATGATTATTTTTAGTGACAATAGATATTCGTTGTAAATATTTCTATAGCCTATAGCGATAATGAATCAATGACAATTAATTAACGCCAATAAAATATTTTTCTTTTTTTGCCGCTAAAAATTGTTTTTACTATATTGATAATATAATAATTGAGACAATGAAACAACAGGTAATAATAAAATGAAAAGATATGATAGTATAGGAGAGTAATCTGATAAAGGCAACTCTTTTCGAAAGAATTTCTTACTTCTACAATAAAAAAAATCTTTCTATAATTTTAATTATTGATCAAGTAATCGCACATCCCAGAAATCAATGTTACAAAAAGTCACAACTCTAAAGAAAAAATTTGAATCGATAAAGATAATTTATTTGAAACGAACAAACAACGAGATAAAAATGAAATAGCGTATACTTTAGGTTGCCATAGGGGAATAAAAGATGATGGTGAATAGACCGTTACGTCCTCTTCTATATTTGTCTATGTATGCCATCAATTTGATATATGACATTATAAGATAATCATGCTTGGAAAAATAAACATGAAATTGATCGATCGTGACATAAGAAAATAACTTTCGTAAAAGAAATATTTCAAAAAAATTACTTTTTATCACATAAAAGTATGTTTATATATTGTGTTTTTTCTAATTTAATATGAATTAAATCATAAAATAATATAAGGGAAAACAAACATATAACCGATTAGTCATATAAGAAATTGACTTTTCATGGAAAATAACTTCAATCACATCAAATACATTATCCGTTGTGTCTTCTTCCATTAAATAATATGAGCTTAAATGATAAAATCAAACAACCTTGGGAAAAAATAAATACTAATGAATTTCGACGTGTCAAACACACATTTTATCTGTTGGTTTTTTATTTTATTTAATATTGAGATCTACATCGATAGGATAAATAAGAATTTATATTTTTATATAATTTTGGAACTACTCTTTACTCACAAGTTAATTTTTAAGGTTAAATTACGCCTAGATTTTATATCATTAACTAATTAAAAACGGAATTAATAAATAATATAGTGGTTTGGAGGGAAAAAATGAACATGCACCATTTTGATTCTGACTGTTACGATGTTATTTGTTTTGAATTTGGCCCTTTATAAAGTATTTAACTTTCTTCTTTTATTCTTATATGAAATTTTCTAAATATAATGAGCATTAAAAGCTTGCTCCCTGTCGGAAAATAATATTCTATCAATTTACGTTTGTTATCGTTCATAAATTTTTGAAGATTTCGAAATATTTTTTTATCAAAATTTTTCATAGGCAATTGTTAAGACATATTAGCAAAAGAGCCAATACGTTCAAATGAACAAACGCGTCCATTTTCGAGTTCAAACAAATACAAAGCAGGTAAATATAGATTTACAATTTTCCTATGCTATAAAATGTCACATACATACCATGTTTACTTTAATTAATTGTTTGTCAAAGTGAAAAACGGATAAGGCAAACACATGCAATGCCTACGATAGAAGTCAAAAATAGAAAGTTGGAACAAATTAATTGGATTACAATTGTTCTCATGAATAGATAATGGGATAAGATTAAAGACTCATTTAATGAATAGATCATAATGGGATAAGTTTCTCATAATAGTAACATTATTGTCATAAATACTCTTAGTTGTTATCACTGTTCTTTACTTCAGAATGTTATATACATGGCGTAGTTATAGTCATTAGGATTTTCGATCGACATTTGTCGTCAGGAAATTATATTATATATACAAATAAAATAACATATAAAGTGATTAAATAACATCTGGACACATTTAATATAACAAGGTATAGTAATATAGTAGTTGAAGGTGCCTTTAAAGAGTCAAACATTTAAATGTTTATAAATTCAAATTTCGCGAGCAGCAACTTTAAGCCTTCTCCTCCTAAACTTTTTCATGTATATTTAAAATTTCTAGTACTCTCATTCAATTTTTTTTCATGTATATAACGTATGGTTTTTCAATTTTTCCATGTATACAATGTAGTTTAATTTTAAAATCTCTAATGCCCTTATTCATCCAAAGAAAAAATGTATTCGTGTATAATTTCTGGACATTCTTTATGAAATTTCTGGTTATGCCACTTGTGATATATAATGCTTGTCACACAATATGTCATGATTTCTTTCTTTTCACATTTTATTTTTCTATAGTTACTTTGAATTACTTTTCTTAAGCCGAAAATCTATCTGCGTATACTCCACTCTCATCAGACCTACCAAGTAAGACTACATTGTTTTTGTTGTTATTGTTGTCATACTTTTTTGAATGAAAAAGAATATCTTATATTAGAACAAAAATATCAGAAAGCATCTATATTAAGATACTTATAGGTACAATATTTTTTATTTTTTCAGAAAAATCTGTGGAATGTAAGAACAAGTACAACTCATACATTAGTATCTTAGAAATATAAAAATTCATAGACCAAGTAGCAATTGATAAGTTAACATCATAGATTTATTTTTTCCCAATTATTGTTTTTATTACAATATTTTATTTTATTTTTTTAAAAAATAAAATCCAAGAACTCATGTTACATTAATGGGCCTAGTTACCATGCTGGAAATGAGTCCAGACAATGTGGGCCCATTTTTGAGAAATTCCTAGAAAATTGTGGTCCCTTTTGGGACCATAATAAGTGTTGTATTTTCTTGTGATACACATGATGGGCTTCATATATGTTGCTATCTAGATGGCTCAAAAAGTACTTAAAACCCATATTGGAAATTAGATAAGCCCACAATATTTTTGGATCAAAGCCCAAATCATATTCTCTTATATTATAATACTGAAAAGGAAAAGACTACGTAATTAGACATAATTCACTATCATATATGCTATTATTATCTATCTTATCTCCAATAAGAGTTCTCTAAGTATCTTACACTTAGATATATACATAATTTAAAATATATAAAAATAGGGAGAGAGGCGAGCTTGATTCAAATGTATCTAGCATACCAGATACTTGGAAGAGAGGTGAGTAAGATGGGAGTAAGATGGCTTCGACAACTCTAGCATTAATGACACGAAAATAACTTTTGACCTAGCTGAAAAGATCACGTTTATTTAGTCCCTCAACCTTGAACGTAATTCAAATGTCTTTGAGGTTCAAAATTTGTCTTGATTTAATACTATTTCACGGTCTGCAACAAAATAATACTTAATCTCTTCCACCTCAGCGCGAAGTATCACTTTGCTTTAGATCTGAGTTGCACATGTCTGAACTTCAAATGAAAATATCTAACACTTGATTATCGAAACAATATGCCAAAATTTTAGATAAAATTTATAAATTTAGGTTCGAAGTTTGATTATGAAGCGGCTAAACTTACTATATAGTATAGTATATACACTTCGGCTATACGTTAAATAATTCTTAAAATCGGGTATCCGTTCATGTAATCCGGTAATTATTCGTTTGGCCCATTAACAAAATCCAAAATTAAATAGGCACTTTTTACGGCCCATAGTGGCGTTTTAGCTTATGTATCTTCGCCGTACTCCGCCGTAGCTTCATCGTCGTCGAAGAAGTAGCTGTATCTCTCAGGTACCGGTAGTCTCTCTCCCCCCGTCAGTTTCAATTTTTTAATCTGTTTTACTTTTTGTATTGAAATTATGAATCCGTTTTCAAATTCTGCACATATATTTTACATCGCGTGCCGGATTTTTTTTTTGCCGATGGTGGTTGTGGCGGTGGATGATGAGATTATAAATTTGTTTTGTACATATTTTTGGAATTGTAACTTAGTTTTTGTTGATGTGATGAAATTTGGGAATTTACTAGTATGATTTAACTTTGTTATGTGTGGAAGGACTCATGAACACGAACTAATTTGTTTTTTGTTTCGATTGAAACTAACATGTTCAATTAATTAGGTAATTTCACTGAGTATGAGAGTGACAGACTTTGCTTGCAATTTTGTAGAATTAGTTGTCTGAGGAACTTGATTAGCATCTGTGCTTGTGTAGGGATTTGGCAATATCAAGTTTTTGTGTTTTGTATGAAATATTCGGTGCAGTATTAGCGTATTACCGGAGTCTTATTCTAATTAGCAAAATAGTAAAAAAGGTGTAGACTTAACTGCATATTAGATCATTCTTTGGTTGGAATCTATTCATTTGAGTATAACTCCTAGTACTTACATGTTTGGACTATGTAAAATTCTTTACTCTAAAAATCAGAAATAGAGTACAAGTTAGTTTTCAAAATCATATCGCATGCAAAATTGTTGTCTTGACTCTGGATGTGTGTAATTCCCACTGATTCATTTTACCTGCGGGAAGTATACAAGTTAAGGTTCTATCAAAATCTTCTACAACAACGACAACAACATAATACCCAGGGTAATCCACAAGTGAGGTTTGGAGAGGGTAGTGTGTACACAACCTTACCTTTCCTTGTAAAGAGGTTGTGTTTCAGAATATAAAAGCATTTAACTCTCTCTCTCTCTCTACTCATGCACGTGCATGTGCTACTCAGAAAGAAAAATAGCATAGTGAACAGTGGTGGATAATGGATTTTAGTGGATGAATAATTGATACTAGAAATCAGGAACCTAGGTAGTAGTTCAGTGTGTTCTCTTTAATTATAACGCCTCTATTGTTT